AATGGGAAAGAGGAGGGGGGGGGGGGGAGTTACCAAATTTAGCTCAGCACATACCACGCAGATATGGTTGCACCCAACTCGGCATGCGAGATGCACACCCACCTAGGTCATATGGTTTATTTCTTCATAGGGTTGCCAGTATGTGCCTGCGATGCCAGCAATATTTTGGGTTGGTGCCACGTGTGCTATTAAGGAGAATGCACTAAGAATTCCAGACTAATGAAAATGTGCGCCTCTTAGATCGTTTTTGAAATGGATCAAATATATGAGGCCATTTCCCGTCCAGCGTGTTGCAGATTGTGTGCGCGCTTTTTTACACTCTGGCTTCTAGTATTAGGGCAGCAATATTTTTTTCCAATAAGAGGCTGCGGCCATAGCACTAAAGACATGATTAAAGGAATCCGTTGCTAATTAAGTTGCATGTTGCCGTGGGCACCTATTAGTGTCACAATTAGACAAAAAAAGTTCGCCTTCCAGCATTACATGCTAACTCAAAGAGGGCTTACGTTAGCTAGTTTTATTGACGTCCACAGTGCGTGTGGCCCTATTTTGTCATGTCCTTTCTGTATGACCCAAAATATTCGTAACACATTACTAGCCGATCATCAGATTAACCAAAACAGCATTAGTGGCTTTGTTTTTCCTTTAAAGTGCACTCAAAGAGAGAAAGGTGAGGTAGTGATGGTGAAACTTGAAGTAAATATTTGTTTTGATAAGTAGGTACACTTCATGAATGTAATTCATGTGTGGAATGTCCAAACTAATTTAGAAATCAAAGCCACCAAGCACCATCACGGCGGGGAAGGGTCTCAATATTCATTTTCAGTATTAAAAATGAACTGAAACACGTGTTATGTATATTCGAGATTGTTGCATTTCTTCCTTCGCAGTTATTTTGTGTGTGGCCATAATAATAATTCTTTCCTATTACTTTATTATTAGAAATCTTATGCTGTGAAAAAATTTTACCCAAAGGTCTCAAAAATGTAAGGGTTATTAATAAAGACACGTACACCTGCCCAACAGATGACCTTACTAATCCCGTAGTTAACAGAACTTCGCTTGTGAAAAGTCCATCTCTGGATGAGCCTCCATGAACTTCTTCAGCATATCTTGCTTCTTTTGCTCCTCGGAGGTTGGCTTGCCGAGCGCCTTCTGGCGCTGATCAAACATCATTTTTTCCACCGTCTGCCTCGTTTCGCTATCCAAGTCCTCTAACTTGGAGTTCTCCGGCACAACCTTCTGTAGATCGATCTCAGGGTCGCCGACAATAATGGTTTTCCACCACTCCATATCATTCTGCTTTTGTAGTGATATCACCACCACAGACCCATCTTCAATAGTCCACATGCAATCCGCTAACTTTACGCGCGCGTAGAGATCGCCATCGATGATGGGAGGCTTACCCTTCATAGCAACTTTCAGATGATCTTGCTTGATCTCAACATCGAGCTGCTTGCCGCGGACATTTCGTGCAGGTAGCGGCACGCGCACCTCAACATCCTTAAGGGTTTGTGAGAAAGTATAGTTCTCGTACTCAAAGCCGTTGCCTGCGGTAGGTGGTAATCCCTTGGGCTTGTTGCAGTCCTCATCGTCATCGTTGCCTTTCTGATTCTGTGCTTCTTCAAGCTCCTTTTTTTTCTTTTCAAGCTCTGCTTTACGGTGGGCTGCGGCTTCGGAAGCCGCTTTGGCAGCCGCTGTGCTGAGTTCCTCCTCGTCCTCGAGCACCTCAACGCGCGAAGACGCGGCGGCTTCCTTCTTCCGTCGAGCTTCTTCCTCCAGCGCTGCGCGTTTCTTCTTCTCCTCGGCCTCAGTTAAGTAACGCGACATGAACTTATCTACAGTCGCCCTGGCCAGCTGAGGCTGTGTGAAGAAATCCGTCTTGCGATTTAGGAAGGAAAAGAAGACGTCCAGGATGCCGTCGATGCCTTCTTGCTGCTGAGCAATGGCCATGAGCATCGCATCAAAACGTTCATTCTGTTTAGCTGTCATAGTTTTTGGGTGTTTGGGTTTCGATATTTCTTATCAAAAAATATGCAATTAATTGTGTTTTACGTAAATCTTTTTTTTTGTGTGGCTCACTCTGATATTGAGAAAAGAAGGGAATGCCTTCGAACATAGAAACATATGAGCAATCATTTTTTCACTTTCATACTTCTCAAGGTATTTGTCGTTTGGTCGCCTCATGTAAATAAATTATCACCATCACATCCCTCTGAGGGGTTTTCCCATTTTTAAAGACCACTTTTGGCTTCCTACGAGAACACACGCACACAACCAAAAAACCTGCGAAAGGGGAAGATGATATACAAGCTTGCTCATCCCAGGACCTTTAAACTCTCCTATGGTAGCAGCACGTCGTCGATCGATGCCGTACCCTCTATTTAGTCGAACGTACGCTGCACATGAACTGAAGTAGCGCCAACCATTCAAGTGCAACGTGCCGGAGGAAGGGGTCGGCGACTCCGTGGGGGTGAACCTCAGTCGCCGTTCGTTTTGCCTTGGTGGTTTCGTCCCTGCTGTCAACCGCCGCCGCCGCGCCCCAGTGTGAGCCGTGCAGCCTGCGCCGGCCAAAGCCCCGCCAGGCCTTGTAGAGGGCCGGCAGATCAATCTCCACTTCCACACGGGCCTCGGACCGAGCGGCAGGATTGTAAGGGATCACAACGGATTCAAACTTAGAGCCACTGTCTCGAAAGAAATTGGTTGGGTTGTTCAGTGAGCGCTCCTTGGAAATCTCGACGCAGAAAAAAGGACGAATCGGAAAGCGGTGACGTTTCTGAAGCCGAACGTAATGTGGGACGACGGTCGAAAGATCCAGCACCGCATCATCGACACCTTCCCTATCACTCTCCAAGTGCGTCGCTCCTGAAATGCCCGTATCAGGAGCGGAGGGGGTGCCGGTTCGCCACGCGATGTCGCGTTCGTTCGCTACGGCCAGGCGGAAGTCCCATCCCCATTCTGGGCAATACACATCAGTGGTATGGATGGTGGTTTTGAGCGTGACGGACTGCAACCGTCCTACCCGAAGTGAAGTACTGTTCTTTATCTCAGAGTACGAGGGGAACGCATAGCTCAACCGATACCCCTGCGGCGTGCATAACATCATTGTGCTTGTCTTCATTGTAACGGGGGAGGTCGCGGCCCACTGCCGGCCTTGGGTTGAGATCAGATGAACTTTTTGCAATGCAGCTTCCATATCAAAGAAGCATCCTGGGGGTAGTCCTGATCTAAACTGAAAGAGATGCTGGTTCTTAGGATGAAGCACGGCGGTGCTGGAAGAAATGATGGGCAAACCCGGGGCATTAAGGCGCGGTGCCGCGATAAGCTGACCAAGACGGCTCTCGAGTTCAATTGCGATGCCCGTGGGCCTACTTGCGTACGCCTCGAGGCCGCACTGAAGGGAGTGAGCTACTGCGGTCAAAATGGGATCTACGTAGGGTGGCAAAGTTGTAATGGGGCCATTGAGGAACATTGCAAGCTTCCACTTCTAGCCTAAAGAACAATTATTGCTATTGAGGTGGTTGTTTCAGTTACAACCCAGACTCTTCTCTCTCCTAGATAAGATAATAATAGTGATACTGATCTACACTAATAAGAGAGAAATAACATCAAAAGCGCTAAAATGAAATCAACTTCCTATTTTTTAGCTTCCTTTTCAACTTGTGAGCCCCCTTTTTCCTTCAGTTTTCGTTAGATTCCCTCACAACAAACTGCAGCAACAACCCTACAGTGGAGATTCGAGATGGGTAACAGGGACATCCGCCCTTTAATTCAGCAACATCCAACGTGCTTGCCGCCTCTGTCATGTGGTAATGTTTTTTTTCATCCTCTTCACAGATCTATGCTAGTTATTTCACTTGCTGAATAGACGACAACAAAATTTTTCAAGCCCCGCATATACATATATATTTGCGTGAGTATTATCACCTGTGCAGCGGTTATGAACTCTATTTTCAGCTTCTTCAGACCTACTTCATATGCTACAATAGTATCTATAAAGAGACTGTATTTGACTTCAGCCACTACTACCACCACCCTTTTCCCTTGTATGATCCTTCACAGGATACACTTATCAACAGTCCCATTCATGAATACATTCCTCTGTGGATTAAAGAAGAACTCCTCCTCGATGACACCTTCCTTGAGGGAGACAGAGAAGTGTCCATATCTGGGCATTGCTTTTTTTTCTCACTCCTAGTTTCCTTGCTTTATTCTCCCCCCCTCCCCTCTCCTATGGATTTTTATCCACAAAAAGAAAAGGGCACTTCCTATCTATTTCAGCTACTACTATCGTCCGAATCACTCGAATCAGGGCTACGACGCAGCAATCTCAAAGTCGTGTGATTGGAGTTCGGCGTCGGGCTCTGGAACGTCGCTGCGATCCCGCCGGTGGTCGGGACCAGCGCCGTAGCGTAGGCGGGCTGTCCTGGCATCGTAGGCGTCGCAGCCGTCGCCGTCGGCACCACCGTTGGGGTGGGGATAGGGGCTGACGTGGCTGTGGATGGCGTCGGGGTGAACGGGACCAACGCGGGCGTCGGACTCAGAGCCTTGCTGTCGGGCATCGCCGCCGCAGGCTTGATGCTGGAGAGGCTGTTGAGAAAGGAGTAGTTCGTGGGGGATGTGGGGCCTAGCACCCGGGTTGCGTCGAGACCGCTGCTGCCATCAGGAGGTTCGTTTGGCTGCACCGTCGATGCCGTACTAGTGGAGCTGCTCAGGCTGATCGAGTATTCCTTGGGGCGCCATGGAGCTTTATTACCTGTCTCCACCGTGGCGGTTTGCTGTTTGGAGTCTTGTACCCACCCCGGAATGGAGGGAGTGTCCTGGTTTGAGGTTGTGATGGTAGAGAGAGTGGGGATGCTAGGTTGCGCTGGTACCGCCGAAGCCGCGGAGGGCTGAACTGGAATCGTAGAGTACGGTACCTGAACAGCGCTTTTAGTGGGTGGTGGCGTCGAAATGGGTAACAAAGCTGGAGACTTCTTGGGAGCCTCAGGGGGAGGCGTCATAGAGATGGTGCCGACGATGTCGGGTTGAACGGCTGGAGGTTTCAGAGGGACGATGCTGGCAGGTGTCTGCAGAATGGTCTGGGGAGGCTTTTCTGGGGCCGCTTTATGACCTTCAAAGGGGAGTGACGACGTCATGAGAATAGAAGCAGGCTTTGACTTCACCCCCACCTCCTCGCGCGCTACCTGCTTCAGATCCCTAAGCTCCTTCTCAAGATCATGCATTTGACGTACCAGAGTGGCATGCTCAGTCTGCCGCTGCCGGGAGAGGTTGTATTCCGTCATGGCCGCGAGATCCGGCACAACTGGGATGGAGGAAATGGAGTCCGCTGACCTCGGCAGTATGTTACCGTGCGTTACGGGAAGAGCCCGCGACGGGCTCAGTCCCGTGATCTCCATCGCAGCAGGTGTGGGCGACGCGGCGCCTGGCAGGGCCGAGAGGGGCTGTGGTGGTGGTGGTGGTAGCGGCTGCGACTGGGAGTCCTTCGCGCGCTCATTAGTGGAGTCTTTAAGGTTGCTGATCTGCTGGATGAGAAGTTGCATCATCTGATCGCGCTGCTGTTGAGACGCGGCGTCGCGCTCCTTCTCGAGTTGCCGCTCCAAGTGTTCGAGTCGATCCTGCATCTGCCGAAGCTCTGCCTCATGGCGCGAGGCGTCCGCCGAGGAGGGCATCGCCCCTGCAGCGGGGGCGGCGGCCCCATCCCGAGGAAACCCCGCGCCGTGACGCTTTCGCACGTGGGACTGGAGCGACTCAGCCTTGTGGTAGGCCGCGCCGCAGGTGGGGCAGACGAAGGACTTTGCTGGGGCGGCACCAGGGGGCGTGGCGGACGTCCGGCGTGCGTCGAGGTGGTCCCTCCCCCTCGACGTGGCGGCGGCGGTGTACTCGTAGGCGAGCAGCGTCCGCCGCTGCGCCTTCACCTCCTTCTTAAGCACCTCTCGCTCATCAAGCAGCCTGGCTTTCGACTGTTCCAGGAGATCCACAGCGCCGCGCAGCTCCCCGACGTGGTCGTTTAATCGTCCATTCAGCTTGGCTAGGCATTCCTGTGAAAAGACTAAGTATTGTATGACGACCTGCATGAGCTTGAAGAGGTGCAGAATGTGATCCGGCGAAAACATTGCGGCTTCGTCTCGGGATATGTGCGAAAACGCTAAATTTTCTACTATGCGCTGAAGCGTGTCAACGTTGGTGTCCTTTGTGAGGCGTTGCAAGTCGATAGCCACAAGCACACCCCAGTCTAATCGTTCATTGCCCTGTACAAACTCAAAAGAAGAGGAAGTCATATATATCAGGATATTCTATAATGTAATACTCCGTTTGGAGGAATTAACAATCTAATTTTAGGAAGGTAAGTTTGGTTTTAGAGTTGGTTGACTTGTCAACAGAATAATACACTGGTACTATATGTGATGTATATTTATAAAAGATCATGTTAGATCAAAAATAAAGGTTGAGAAAGTTAAATGAGTTTCTGATAAATGGTGAAATGAGTCCAAATAGGAAAAAAAAAGAAAATACATTTACATACGTATTAAGTTTATACTACCATTAGCAATGCATGCACAAAAGATCGGTCTTCATGTTTTGCCCTAGTTACCTTTTCCTTTCTCTCTCCTACTCCTTTATCCAAGATACCATAGAAGTGTGCCAATAAAAATGTACTAGAAGAAAGAAAGAGTCCATACACATCTCATAGGCAGAGATCATAATAAATTCCTCTGTTATTCACACGTGCCATGTAGTTCTTATCCTTTACTTCTGCCAAGGCAAAATATAATAGACACCCATATCCCGCTCTCTTTTGTACTACTCATTGATAACACGCAGAGTTAATCGCTTAAGGAAATCAAAATATACGATTTTAATGTTTTATATGCTCATTATTTTTTAATATGTATGCAGTCACACACACATATGCGACCTATCCTCTTCCTCTCCCCAATCCCCCTTTCGAATTACCTTGTTCCTCACTAAACGGTGTGATTCCGCGCCTGCTATCTTTGTTCCATTATCCAATATATTTATTGACATTACCATGGATGGTGTAAGGACGTCGCGCCAGTAATGCCGAAATCAGGCAGTTCCCTTTTTTATCCAAGAGGAATACTCCTCACAACGAGCAGTAACCGTCTCCAGGGCAGGTAATTTATGTTTCAATGCATGTATACATACCTGCTGCGCTGCATGATTCGCATCATGAAGTGATGAAAGAGAATATACCAGACTCCCTCTCAAGTAGTGTTGCCGCTCGCTTTGTGCCGACTATGCGGCTCAACTCGTGGGTGTCGTATCTGCAGTACAATGTCATCGCAAAGGCGTTCGGGGACGTTGCCACAATTCGGTTTACAAGCGAGGTGTAAAAATCAGGGAACAGTGGTGGACTGTAGAAAATAATAACCTCTGCAAACTTGACAAAGTACCGCCGAAAGAAGTAAAAGCGCTCCGTCAAAAGCAGCAAAGGCCGCTCAAGGTCAGTGAACTGCCCCAGCGCCTGCCGCTGCTTTTTAACAGAGGTGTACTCCGAGATCGCGGCGTAACTCTCACGGTACTCACGGTGCATGTAATTGCGCAGCCGCACAAACTGGAAGTATGATGGAACGAAGATGATGGTCCGCACATCGCGCTCGACGAGTGGGTGGATCTTAGACGGGTACATTTTGTTGGTAAACACGTCAAAGCGCTCATCGTCAACGGCCTCTATAGTAGGGACATCGAAGCGTAAAAAGTTCTGCCGCACTGGCGCCAGAACGTGCGAGAGGACACCTTCCTCCACACGATGCTGGAGAAGGATCTTGCCGGAGTTGTTAAGTGACGCTCGGAACGCGCTGGAGATGGTAGCGTGGCTAATATTCGTCGAGAAGATGGTCTGCCGATGTCGCCCGCTCTTCCCCTCGAGAGCCCACGCGTACACGCGGCGGAGGTCGGAGAGGCCATGGGTGGTGTCTGTCGGGCGCTTGTTGAGCATCCCCAGCACTGCCGCGGCGTGATCCCAATTCTGTTCGAGGAGGACGTGAGCCTCGTCTACGAGACACACCTCGATTGAGGAGAGGGAAACCATGATATCGCCGCTCTTTTCTAGCCGCCGTCGCAGACCGAGCGGCGAGCAGAGGATGATATCACTGTTGAGAGGGTGCGCATAGACCTGCACACGGTCCGGTTCCAACCGCAGGCCGACGCAGAAGGTATCATCAATGTTTCCCTCAAACTGACGCTGATAATCCTTTGGGCGGCGCTTAAAGGTTGGGTCCACAGCTTCTTCGATTTCAGTAAAGTCGCTGGAGAAGTTATCTAATTTAGGGCAGCGCTCTGGATCGGCGCCGAGGATTCGAACGATGGTGTGCACGTAGCGATAGGCCTGGTTACGCATTGGCAGCATGACTAAAACACGCGTCCTACCAAAGCCACGATCCCGAAGTTCCAAATTCTCATCACCGTCGCCAACATCATTGAGGATCTCATCCGCTATAGCGGCGGACTCGTTTCCTTCATTAGAGCCATCCTCCTCGCGACGTCGTTTGCGTCCCTGACTGGCCAAACTCGCTTCTGGGGTGGTTAAGCTCGCCTTCTTCCTTTTGGCGGGATTGCGGTTTTCTGCGGCCCGTCGTCGGTGGTGGCGGTCGCGCAGAATCGCATCATGCGCCACAACCACCGCTCGCATCTTAAACCAGTGATTGAGAATGTGCAATAAGAAGATCTCACGCCGCGACGCCGCGTTCTGCCAGCACCGCAAGCAATCCAGCACGTCTGGGTAGCCCTGCAGGAGGTCGAGCAGGCCGCGCTCCTCGAAGGTGAGAGCGGGGAGGGCATCCGTCGTGGAGGGCGACGGTGAGGGGGGGAAGTGGTGGTTCCGTGGGTAAGAGCGGCGATAGGCAACCCACTTCGCCCATAACGTTTCGTGAACGTACGGCGGGCGGGATTCCTCGATTTCAGGCTCCAAAGCCCCCGGTGCGGCGTCCTTTTTCGTCCTTCTTCGAATCGCGGGCGTGGCCGCCAGGGGCTTTGTGCGCGAGTTCATCGATGTACTTTCAACACCGACCCCCACAGCAAACGGCTCGTGAAGCCAAAATTTCTGCGCATGTGCACTGGCTGCGACGGCGATGCTCGATGGATCCACCATACGGTACTCCGCAGCACTCACAGTGAGCAGGTCTGGCGCCAAAGCCGTGCGAGGGGTGACAGCGTTTGGCGAGGCCGCAATCATCCTCGCCTCGGCCTTGTTGTGGGCTCCGTTGACTTCAGCATCCTTCTCCTCGGCCTCGACGGCGGCGATGAGTGCGTCATTGCTGTGTTGAAGGGCTTCCAACACCTCCGGTGGCACCGGCACCGCACGCAAGGGTGTCTGATCCACGCCACCGTGTCGATCGAGGTGGTATTTTTGATAGCACCGATCCTGTGGGTTCGAGCGGAGAATCATATCCATGCACGTTGTGCCTAGTTTGAACTTTGGAAGCAGCGCACGGCGCTCGCGCTGCTTCTCTACACTCCCGGCTTGCGGATCCTCGGACGTCGAGGATGCGTCGCTGCTATCGTCGCTTTCGTCGTCCACATACGCCTCCTCGTTTGATTCCATCATATCTTGAGGTTCAAAGACGATCTCTCCTTTGGCGTCATCCGCCGCGTTGTTGTCATCTCCGTCCTCATTTAGTAGTTCTAATAGCGGGTTAGCTTCAGCCTCTTCCTCGTCGGCCTCCTCATCCTCTCCAAGGTCCAAACTTTCACCGCTCCCTGTGTCCTTTTCGTCATCTTCCTCATAATCTATCAGCAACTCCTCCTCTTCGTCATCCTCCTGCATATCGCTAGACGCATTTTCATCTTCATCCGTATTTGGATCGCTGTTCGCAGACCGACTGGTGGGGGTTGCTACCCGCCCCAGGTAGGTCTCCCAGTCCTCATCGTCCCTCACGCTGCTTTCTCGCGACTCGGGCTTATCGCTGCGTTCCGCTCGTTGTGAACGCACAACGCTGCTATGCGACGACGACCGCCCTGACTTGGAAAGACTTCTCTCAGAATCCGAATCGCCGTCCTCGCCTGTTGGAGCATCGTCTTGGAGATGCTTCTGCTCACTTGTCGAGGTCTTTCCACCTGTACCACGTGTGGACTTGTTAGCATGCCTGCTTGTTGCGCTACGACTTTGTTGAGGGGTCTTTGAAACACCAAGCAAATTGCGCAGCTTTCGGAGCTTTTTTTCGGAAGTCCACTGCTCTTTCTCTGAGTCTGTAGAAGCCCTGTCTTCGCTAGAGTCGCTCAGGGCATCAAGTTCATCAGCCTCTCGTTTGGCAGCGTAGTATTCAACGCGCTCGTTGTATTTCCATCGTCGCTCCTCCTTCGAAGCTCCTTTGGTTCCACGCCTCTGCTGAGAGGCTGTTCGTTTTTGCTTCGCTTTGAGTTTCTTGAAAAAGCCACCAGGCTTGCCCATTTTGCTACACCAAAAGGACACTTCCCTTCAAAAGAACCAAATAAGCAAACACGCTATATGTTTCTCTTTGCCAGTGTGTGCAGGTGTGACCTTTAGGATATTTGCCTTCAAAAGGCGCATAAAAGGGATGGAGAAAAATATGTTAAAGGTTAAGAACGATAGGGAGGGATTGAGGTAACATCTAAAATAGAAAACTTTAGCAATCAAGAAGTGTGCGTGGGGAAAACATGCTCACTAGAAGTCGTTTTCCGTGCAGTCAACAATAACCTTAACAACCTCTCTGAGGTCGATTTTGTTTATTGTTCGACTTCTAAAGGTGTCCCTTTTTTTTATTTAGGTATTGGGGGCTTCTTGTCTTCATCATTCCCGTCTCCAGGATTCGCTACCGGGAGATTTGCAGCAATCCTTAGGACCGCCTTTTGCGCCCGATCCACGACCACGACGTCCTCCAGTACCTGTCGAAAGAGCCGCTGACAGTCCCGCAACTCCTCCGAGGGTGCCGCGCTGAAGTAACAAATCGGATCCATGGCCGATCCATCCTCCCCCTCACCGCCCTCGGGGCCGGGGAGGGGGTCCACCACCCAACTCACCCCATCGTCATCGTCGTTATTGCTATCATTATTGTTGTTGTGATCGCGGCGGCTGCGGAGGCCCCGCGTGGGCCGCACCACCCCCGCCGCGACAGGAACGGCCTCGTAGGCGAGGAGACGCCCACGCCGCTCCTCGACGGCCTGCGTTGTGCTGAACGCGAATCGGGCCGCGCGGAGCCTGTCATGGAGGGCCGCCCGGGCGTCCTCGAGTTGGCCAAGCGCCTCCCACAACGCCTCGTAGGGTGCATCCTCATCGAGGGCGGACATCGTTAGGAGGGGGAGGGTCGTCTTCGGTGAATATTGGAGAAATTGTTGGGGAGAAAAAGGAGGAGGGGGAGGGGAGCAGTGTAAACCAGAAATTCGACGGTTGGTATCGCGACAGGAGCGGCACCGACGTACTCTTTGAGTCGGGTAAAAGGGAAGAGTGATAGAAAAATATAACTTTTTGATCCATTGTATTCAACACCAGAGTAACGAAAAAAAATAGATGAATGGATAGGAAAATGAAGACATACAAATATCTAAAGAATAAATAAATATTTGTCCACCTCTACTTTTTCCTCATGTATGTAATTTATATTTCTGCTTTATTTTCAAGCCAAGCACATATGCGATAAGTCTATATATATATCACATACGCGCATTCAAACTCCTGAAACAGGATGAAGATCCTTTTGATCATTTGTAGAGAAAAAAATTTAAGTGAGGATCGCCTTTTTTACCTTTAAAAGAGAGTCACCACCACAACAAAATTTGCCATGGAGTTATGGTAGAAAAAAGTAAAAATGAATAGGAACCACACAAATATATATAATACGATGAAAAGCCACACATAATTATTAAATTACTATTCAATTGCATTCGATTTTTGACTATGAGCCGTCAGTTTTACTTCCTAATAATTCATATTATGTTATATAACACAATCGAGACACTACATAAGTAGCGTGCATAAGGATGGGCATGCCACCACCCAGATCACCATTGTCAACAAAAACATAAACACACCTTCCCTTGATTAGGATTGCTCCGGTTGTGCACCCCGAGATCGTTTCTCAACCCCGTGCTCTCCCCGTAATCCACTGAAAAGATCCCTCTCCATCACTCTCACGTCTATGTGAGCTTCTTTATACTTCCACAAATAGTAAAAGTGTTTCTAAAGTTTACCTACACAACATCCCAACTCGATTACCAAGTGAAGGGTAGAGGATGAGCATTTAATGATCCTCCATCCTTGTATAGGATCCCTTCGAACCAAAGAAACCTGTCTTGCGCGCAGTGTCGGTTTTGGGGTTGCCACCAGCCATAGGCATGTTGACTGGGGTGTGGAAGTTGAACACCTCCAACGGGTTGATCAAATAGAATGTGATTCTCGTGCGGAGCGCGCCATCAAGATCGAGGTTCTCATCCACGACACTTTTTTTCACAATAAGCGTCTGTGGGGTGCCACTGGGCTTCATTCTTTCTTGAGCATAGACCTTTCCGGAGGAATCGATTAGCTCGATGCTATGTGGGGGAACGGAGTCCCCTTGACTGAAAAGAAAGATCACAAAAGATTGAATGTCATCAGGGATGATATTCGCGATGAGGCCGCTAGATTTACGCTTGATATCAAGGCGTGCGACGACGACCGTATTACCGACAACAAAGCCTGTCGAGGAGAATGGGTTTAATTTTTGCTCGTACATTCTTGGAATTGTCCACGTCACGGATACTATCTTCTTATCCGATATCTGCTTTGAAATGATAACATCGTCATCTAAGATATAGTGAATCATCAACACGTCATTATCGCCAAGAAATTCAATCATATCGGCTCTATTGCACACGTTCCAATGCCCGCAACGCTTTATGTTGGGGTCGATAGTGTGGGCTGTGTGTTGTCGCATGCATTCCTTTTTCGAGTTCTCGAAGTAGTAGGAATATTTTGGAATGGGGCGCTTCTTGAAGCGGACGTAGACTCCGACGTAGCCAGGGCTTTCTATAGTGATGTGGAGGTGAAACTTCACACCCTGAAATGAGGTAGCATAACTACTGTTGTAATTACTATCAATCTTAAGCGAGCTAAACTTCGGAATAAGCCATACAAAATGACGACCTGCGGCGTTTATGGCACTAAAGCTCCCTAAAGTTGTAGTACCCATTTAAAGTTTTTCTATAATTTCACTATACAAAGCCAGACTAAAATTTTATTTCACTCTTACTATATTATACAGTTGTTCTTTTGGTGCGCTTTGTATTTTTTCTTGCAAGCTCGCGAACCCTCTCAATTAGTAGTGCCCTCAGGGAGAGGGGAACAACCCAATCAGGAAGCACGTAGAAAAAGGATATCAAAAAGATAAAGGAAAAATAGCTACACAAGGTCATCGCAGTCCTGAAAAATATTAAATCCAGAGTTTTCCATTTTTAATGACTCACCGTGGCATGGATCTGTTTGTTCATAGATAAAAAAATCTTTCAAGTTCTGCATTCAACAGAGAAGAGTATACTCGAAAAAATGGGGTAGCTAATAGGGATAGTGATTGAAAAAAATAATTACAAGGGGAAAAATCAATAAAAACATGTTGCATACCTACATGTATCAAAATAAATCCTTAGTTGGAGGCTTGAAAGGGATAAAATAGTATAAAGAATGATATCACAACGGTCTGCGCTTTGCTTCACGCAGAAACCGAGTTCATGATTCAAATCGATAGCCGTAAAGCCCCAACAACATGCAGCCCTCGCTTTCTTCAAATTTGTCAGAAGACCCTCACAGATGCTGCACCATTTTTCTTCACAGGCCACCTATTTGGACAATTTTAACATTTTTTGAACAATTGCGAAGGTATCCATGAGTATTGTTTTGAGCCCTTTTGTGGTAGAAGACTGTTCGAATTGGATTCAAAAACCCTCCAGCAGGTGGTTGATTCTATTCGCGGTGAAAGTTAGATGGGGGAGAAAAATGAAATGGTGATGGTATATTATAGATTTCCACTTATTTATTCTTTCTGTCATCTTTCCGATAGTTCTATCGTATCTGTATAAGAAATGCAAAACCGATTCTACATTTTCACTGCTGTGTTCTCGGTATCGCTAAAAATATAGGAAAAATTGAAAATAACGCTTACCCTGCGCATTCTCTTCTACAAAAGAGTTCATATTGTGCTGAAAACAATGGCAGGAGAATCTAATAAGTCATAACAATAGAACGCCATCGAATTCCAAAGTTAAAAAAAACACGTCCACTTTCATTTCCAAAAAACCCTACCACTAATCCTTTTATTCCACTTTTCCTAATTATGCCAAAATATAATCAAATCATCCAATCTCAGAATGTAGGAGATAAAAAGCATCGATAAAAAGAAGTTTATAATTCATCGTTAAACCATAAGTAACTAAAATAAAATGACCCATTAATAACCAAGAAAATAGTTCGAGATAAATTCCTACATACATTCCTTGTTTTCCTTTCTTGAATGACTCAATGGTCGTTTTCTTCAGTCGCTTACGGGTCCACACCCTGAGCAAAGTGACAAACAAGCAGGAAAAAATCTCTCCATCCCTGTAAATATATGTTTGAATAAACCTGTACACTTCATATATTCTATAGCTAGAAAAGTAGTTGTACTTCTCTCTTTTTCTTACCATTTGCTTGATTATCGTGCAGCATTTGATCAAATGCTTCACTTGATAATCCCCTATTTACGCAGGAATGCGTTTTCATGTGCTATAGAGTCCCGTACTTTGGTTGGTTAGCATATGGATACACATTGTGAACCATTCCTGTATCGTACTTCATCAGTAATTTGTACAGCTCCGGGAAGGATACTTCTAGGCCTTCCGGAAGCTCTGCGAAACATACAAAAATGGTAATCACGGTACTTCTGAAGACTTGGAAGACGCTGGTGTTGATTAAGTCAGAGATTACGAATACGACCACGGTGAATACTAAATTCCTTGTCAGCGCGTAGGCGATAACGGACATCACAAGGTTTGAAAAAATTGTTGCCATTCCAACAGCCTGTCCCACCAAACAGTCGTTAAATACAGCCGCAAAAAGGCACTGCTGGGTTAACTGCCACGTTACTTTCGCCCCTTCGAGATAACTGCACCCGTATATGCCAACATGCACAAAGGCGTATTGATTGAAGTAATTCAGAAGGAAGTCAATGAAATCTAACATGCATAGAAAAATGCAACTGATAAAGCTGTAGTCATCCGATTCGCCTGAGGCCACGTTGGCGAAAAAGTAGATAAGGTCGACAACGGCAACCAGCAGAGAGCCAAAGCAGATCGAGCCGAAATTATCAAAAAAAGCGCGACGGAGCATTTTTAAAATTGGTGATGAAGGTATCTGGGAAGACCCTGAAAAGTACCACGTCGCGACGACACCCGAGCAGACGACGTGCATGGCGTGTACGAGCACCTGTGTCGTCCAAAAAAGACTCGAAAGCACGAGCAGAGTGTACCAAGTATCTTGCGGATCCGACGTACCCGCCAATAGACGAAACGACGATGGAATCAATAGGCACAACATGAAGAGAGAGTACGCGACAGACAGCAGAGCTATGCCCAATGAGAGGATCAGGAGACCACAGTATCGCTGAATGATGCGAGAGGCAATGACAGTCATGCAAACAGAGAAATTTATACGACTCCGGACAAGGAACAACCACAGCAGCGGCAATACCGTGATCAAAGCAAACACAAAGCTCATTATAAAATATCCATTCCAGTAGAACGCAAGTGTCATAGCGGCAAATAGAAAAGTATTTAGCCAACTGAATGCCAAAATGAGTGCACGGGGCATAAAACGTAACAGTTTGATGTCCAGCACCGCAGCGGCGAGGGCGAGGCCAACAAAGAGCACAGTCATCGCTACCCATCGGAAGGCTATCGACTCACGCCAGATATCCTGAAGCGCTGTACGCATGCCTGAGGCACGATTCCCCCCTTTGGAAGCATCAGCGCCCCCGTTAGGTTCTAAAGAAGTTGCCTTATTTTGTCCCTGATGCGGAGAGGCAAGCAAGCTCACGATGGGTGCATTGCTCCCATCCGCTTGATTAGCCCCACCCCAGAAAAAGGGCGAAAAACTGATAATGCTTTGATTGCCGCCTTCGTCACCAAGAAACAACCCTATCTCGCGTCCTCTCTGGGAAATACGGTTCGTCATCTGATCCGTCAACTCGAAGTTCTGAAGCTCCGACACCCCCCGGACCAACACGACGGCTAGCAACATGAGGAAGACTATGGCCATCCAACCATCCTGGCACCCACGGCGACGGAAGCGCCAGAGTTCGTTATTGGATGTGTATCCCACCAGTGTGCGAAAGGGGCTTTGCTTGTCCACCTCCCTGCACAAAAGATGCTGATTGTTGTCATTTTCATTATCATAATCGCCTCTATTCGCAGAGCCAGAGAAAACGGCTACCTCAGCTGCAGTGCCGCCGTCGGAAGTATACCCCGGGGGGGAAGTGGATTCCACATCCCCTTCGATACTGACGTATAAGGGGACGCCGCGACCTACCCTTGCCTCGTAGGGGTCGAAGTGCCGCTCTGATGCTAGAATAGGGGGACGGTCGGTGTAAGCACCCCTCAAAGCGGTGGAGTCTTCCACTCCAGACATTTGCTGCTCACGTGTCGATTCTTTTTAGTGTTCGCTATATCGCAATTATATAATTGTTTTCCTGTAAAGTGCTTTTTAGAATGATAAAACAGCCCAATACATTAAAATCGGATAAAAATGATTTATGAAGAGACTAATGATCGCTGAAATAGGAGCAGTAAAAGATAGGGCAAAAAGTGATAAGGGAACAAGTAGAAGGCAGAGAACGTGAGAGTAATACTCACCTTTATCTATGAATGAGCGTAGAACAGTTGCATCTATACAAGGAATATTTTTTGCTGGAGATCTCTCTTTGTTTACTTAGCCGATCACATCAGTAACAGAAAAATGGGTATCAATATAAGATTGCCACTATCCACTTGACATTTTCTACAACTAACTCTACATGTATTCAAGCAACACGCAATAAAAACAAAATTCTAGTGATATTCAGAGTATGATAAATAGTGTATGTACAAATAAATTCAGTATAAAAAAAATTTAAATATTTAAGGAGCAAAAATGTATGTTTAAATATAAATGTAACTAACGAACATAAAGTAATGGGGCAAATATCTATCGGGACAGTGGGGGCGAGCATCATAGTCTAGAAGGCCAACAACACAGAAGACAATTTTCCTTCAACTACTTTTCTTTTGGCTCTTTTAATCACTTTTTTGAGGACGGCTTTGGGAAAAGGAAAAGCGTCGTACAATGGTTGCCCACCACACCAGCGACCTCTAAAAAACATCACTGACCGTTGTGCTCCCATAGACTATTATTCTAATTTATCAGACCACCGTGGCGCGACCAACTATAACTCGTCATCTGGAGCATCGTCGGGGGGGAACAAGTAGCGATCCACGTAAATCCGTTGATACCTCCACTCAGCAGATACCAGAGACGATACCGTCGCGCGTCTGTAGCGCGGCATCGCACCAGGACGGTGATGGCGCAGCCACTGAAACCTCCGTGGGACCTCTACTGGGGATTCAGTAGGGGATGCGTCTATGGGATCTCTATCGCTGCGCCTCTGACGTCCTGCCGGCTTTGAATGCCCCGGGGATCTCTCTTTCGGTGCACCAGGCTGTTGTCGCACGCTTGATTCGTGATACCCCACTGGGCCCGCAGCGCGCGCTTCGTCGCCGTAGCCCTCGCCGCGATCGAGGGATGCCAGTGCCGTGGCCACGGGAAGGGGAACCGCGGCTGCGGTGGTGGGTGAAACCATCGCGTGAGCGACAGGCGGGGAACAAACAGCCCCCTCCGGGATGTCGTCCGCGTCGGTGGTGCTCCTTGGGGTGGCAAACCACTGGCTGCTCGGACAGCTGTCGGGCGTGGAGTCCTCAGAGAGCAATGCTGACGTCGTGGACCTTCGCCCGCCTCCCTCCATGTGTGGGAAGGTGTCACTGTCACGACTAACTCTATCTCGCAGAGTGCTCCCGTGATCACTGCAGCTTGAGCCCTTCTCCTCTCCAATCCCGTCCGCTTCGGCATTCTCCAAGAGCACCGAGCTAAGTGAGGACCCTGGTGAGGAGTTGGTTGGTGTCTTTGGTGCTGTGGAAATACCCTGCTGTCCCTCATCTTCTATACCTATTCTGAGGCTATCCATCTGAGGATCATCATCTTGGCTGGTGGGAGAGGCTGCTAAAGTCGTCGATATGGATTCCAATTTAGGCGTATCCCTGTCGTCTGTATCCGCAGGATCCATTTCGGTTCTCACATCAGTTCGCTGCACCAGATGTCGGGCAGCAGCGAGCACCGGACCATACGTTGGTGATTGGGCGAGGGCTGCCACCAAGTCAATAAGCCCGAGGGTGCCCATAGTCTCGGGAAGGGCAAGCATTGTGGTTCCCTGATCCTTGGTATTCACATCCTTCTCTGAGACATTACTACTGCACTTCTTTAATCGCGGCGGCATGCATTCATAGTGCACCTCACGGAACCCTGGAAGCGTTGCCTTCCGTGTGAAGTTCGGGGAGGCGACGGTAGATGGTGTTGGCGGCTGTGTCGATTTCAGCGATTCAGATGCGTGCAATGCAGCTGATGATAGAACACTGGCCGCAGGCTCTTTGCGCTTTCTCTGTTCATTTTTCAGACGAAGCTGCAGCAACTGTTCTGCGATGGCAGCAGAAGCCTTGTGCTGTGACGCTTGAGTCATCTCGACACGGCCTTTGCGATAGATAATCGTCCTACCTTTCGCCAGAAGACGTGGCGATGGCTTCGGCTGTGGCGAGATGATTGCTTTAGCATATGCACCCTCAGCCTCCATGGAAGGATTACGTGACGCAGTTCTAGAAGCTTCGTGATTAAGTTTCCGTCGGAACAACTCTACATAGCTTCCCCGAGATGACGAGGCAACGACGTCTTTTGGACGGCATGCTGCTACTCTGCTCTTTGGGGGTGGACGGCGGCAGCGACGCACTTCCATGTTGACACTAAGCCTGTCTGAAGGCTCTGGTGTGTTTGGAGGTATGATTCGGTGCGGCTTTGATGGCGACACTGCGTCCGTTTCATAAACCTTTGACGTCGATTTGGCTTGTGTGTCCCTGTATGTTTTGGCGTATGAAGAAGAGCTATCGAACTTTGCCTTATGAGTATTCGACCTTTGCCGCAGTTGTTTATAATAAGCATGGGCTTTATTGAATGTACCCCGAGCACCCCTCACCACCCTGCTCTGGAATTGCGCAGAATCAACAGTTTTTGTAGGTAATGGTCCCGAGGGTAGCGGTAGATTGTTTGATGTGTGCGTGCTGTTGGTGCTACTGAAGTGATTCGCCCGTGTTCTACATGATAAGAGTCTCTCTCGAAGCTGTCTGGAGCGTTCATGTGGCGGTAATGACGTATGCTCCGTAAAGCGAATGTTCCACGCTACTGGAGGTGGCGGCATCGGCAGCGGTTCCGGGGTAGTCCCAAGAGTCATATCACTATCACTATTGCTTATCTTGCTTCTCTCAACGACAGGTGTCCTCGTTGCATAGCGAGCAGAGGGTTCATTTAGTAATGCGAATGAAGGGTCATACACTTCCACATTGTGAAGGTTTGAGTTCTCAGACGGTGTAGCCCTCACAAAAGATGTTTCGCTGTGATGCATAGTGTCTAAGAAATCCCCATTTTTCGACCGACCTGAATCTGAGAGATGTCGGCCACGATTCTCTTTAGTCCAACGATGATCAGCATAATTTTGGTCCAATATGCTGGTGGTCTGCGCTGTCTCGTTCGTGCTACTCTCAAATGAAGGATTTTCATTATACAGACTCATTTCTGCCATCAAAGTGGTAGCAGTATCACTGCTGATACGATCGGAGGGATTGCAGCGCGATGGAGTTCGACTCCCTTCGGCAAGCTCTGCGTTATACATCGATCGCAACACCACACCCACTGTTTCAGGGTCATCAGAATAAGTCGCCTCTGGCTCCTCGCGCAGCGATGCAACGCCCTTGGCCACCTGAACAAGCCGCTCTACTGAGATGTTCCGGTACTGTGTCGTGTCTATAGGAATAGGTCTCGGAACGATTCGCATCGGTTCCAAATTCTCGTCATCATGAACCTCGTCAGACTCTTCACTGTGTGGTAGCTCAATCCATCGCGGTGCCCACTCCTGGCGGGGGTTGGTACCAAGATCAGTTACACAGAAGGACGCTCCATCTACGATGCCCGAGCGCTCATGAATACTAGTCGACGACTCTGCCACAAGCATAGAATGCTGCAAGCTATCGTTTATTGCGATACTGTCGAAGCTATCTTGTGAGTCAGTGGAATCTAACTCGCCAACAGTAAAGCCAGAAGACTTAGGGACTTTTGCAATAGGGGGTTGTAGATGGGATTGTTGTGGTTTACTCTTAGAAAGTGATTGCGCCAATGCAAAAGAGCGACGAATGTCTCGCATTTCTGAACTTAGCAAGGCGAGACGAACTTCATACCGCCATTCCAAAGCCTTCTGTTTAATTCTACGTCGATCCTGCCGCTCGTGCCGTTCGAGTAATCTCACAGCGTAATTCCATTCCCCTAAAGAATTAAATAATTCCAGTTGTTTGCTAGTTACGTTTTCATTTAATACATCCAGGTCTCCTCGTGAGTATTGTTGTGCCACAACATCGACAGTAACACTCGGTCCACTATCATGTTTAAAAGACCTATTTGCCTCATTGTTAAAATCATTAAATCCGAAATCAAGTGTAGAGGCAGCTCTTGACGTCAAAGAAGAAGAGCATACCGAATTTGAGTCTAGAAAACATGCATCACGCCGTTGAGATATGACAACGAGCTGTGGTCCCTGAAGGGGAATAAGATCAGGTAAATATTCCGGCGACAGCTGCCGATGATCAGCCT